TGTGTAAAGATTGATATCCTAGGAATTAGTGAGCTGAAATGGACCAGTTTGGCCATTTTGAATCAGACAACCATATAATCTACTATGCTGGGAATGACAAATTGAAGAGGAATGGCATGGAATTCATCATCACAAAGGATGTTTCAAGATCTATCCTGAAGTACAATGCTGTCAGTGATAGGATAATATCCATATGCCTACAACGACAACCAGTTAATACTACTATTATTCAAATTTATGCACCAACCGCCAAAGCCAAGAAAAGGAAATTGGAGATTTTTACCAACTTCTGCAGTCTGAAATTAATCAAACATGCAATCAAGATGTGTTAATTATCACTGGTGACTGGAATGCAAAAGTGAGAAACAAAAAGAATCACTGGTAGTTGGCAAATTTGGCCTTGGTTACAGAAATAATGCTGTATATTGCATGATAGAATTTTGTAAGACTAATGACTTATTCCTTGCAAATACCTTTTTTCAACAACACAAATGGTGGCTATACATGTGAACTTCACTAGATGGACTACACAGGAATCAGATTGACTACATTGGTGGCAACAGGCGATGGAAAAGCTCAATATCTGCAGCCCAAACCAGGCCAGAATCTGATTGTGGAACAGACCATCAACTGCTCATATGCAAGTTCAACTTGAAGTTGAAGACAATTAAAGCAAGTCCACGAGAGCCAAAATATGACCTTGAATATATCCCTCCTGAATTTAGAGACTATTTAAAAGACAGATTTGATGCATTGAACACCAATGACCAAAAACCAGAGGACTTGTGGGATGACATCAAGAACATCATCCATGAAGAAAGCAAAAGGTCATTAATGAAATGTGCAAAGACCTAGAATTAGAAAACCAAAAGGGAAGAACATGCTCGGCATTTCTCAAGCTGAAAGAACTGAAGTAAAAATTCAAGCCTCAGGTTGCAATATTGAAAGATTCTACAGGCAAAATATTGAATGATGCAGGAAACATCAAAAGAAGATGGAGGGAATACACAGTCACTGTACCAAAAAGAAGTGGTTGATGTTCATCCATTTCAGGAGGTAGTATATGATCAAGAAGAAATGGTACTGAAGGAAAAAGTTGAAGCAGCATTGAAGGAACTGATGGAAAACAAGGCTCCAGGAATTGATGGAATACCCATTGAGATGTTTCAACAATGGCTGTCACACTGGAGGCACTCACTGGGCTATGCCAAGAGATATGGAAGGCAGCTACCTGGCCAACTGACTGGAAGAGATCTGTATTTGTACCCATTTCAAAGAAATATGATCCCACAGAATGTGGAAATCATCGAACAATATCATTAATATTGCATGCAAGTAAAATCTTACTGAAGATAATTCAAAAATGGTAGCAGCAGTATATTGACAGAGAGCTTCCAGAAATGCAAGCTGGATTCAGAAGAGGATGAGGAACACAGAATATCATTGCTGATGTCAGATGGATTTTGCCTCAAAGCGAAGAATACTAGAAACATGTTTACTTGCATTTTATTGACTATGCAAAAGCATTTGATTGTGTGAGTCATAACAAATTATGGGTAACATTGAGAAGAATGGAAAATCCAGGACACTTGCATGTACTCATGAGGAACTTGTACATAGACTAGGAGGCTGTCGTTTAAACAGAATAAGAGGATGCTACATGGTTTAAAGTCAAGAAGGGAGTGTGTCAGGGTTGTATCCTTTACCGTATGTATTCAGTCTGTATGCTGAGCAAATAATACGAGAAGCTGGTCTATATGAAGAAGAATGTGGCATCAGGATTGGGGGAAGACTCATTAATAACCTGAGATACGCTGACAACACAACTTTGTTTGCTGAAAGTGAGAATGACTTGAAGCATTTACTGATGAAGATTGAAGAACACAGTCTGCAGTATGTATTACATCTCAATATAAAGAAAATAAAAATCCTCACAACTAGAGCTGTAAGAAGTATTATGATAAATGGAGAAAAGAGTGAAGCTGTCAAACTCTTCATATTGCTTGGTTCTACAATCAATGCCAATGGAAGCAGCAGTCAGGACATGAGATGATGTGTAGCCCTGGGCAAATTGGCTGCAAAGGACCTCTTTCAAGTGCTGAGGAGCAAAGATGTCTCCTTGAGGACTAAGGTGTGCCTGACACAAGCCATGGTATTTTCAATTGCCTCATATGCATGTGAGAGCTGGACAATGAATAAGGAAGACTGAAGAAGAGTCGATGCTTTTGGGTTGTGGTGTTGGTGAAGAATGCTGAAAATATCACGGACTGCTAAAAGAACTAACAGATCTGTCCTGGAGGAAGTGCAGCCAGGATGCTCCTTGGAAGAGAGAATGGCCAGACTTCGTCTCACCTACTTTGATCATGTTGTCAGAAGAGACCATTCCCTGGAGAAGGATGTCATGCTTGGTAAGGTGGAGGGTCGACGAATGAGGGGAAGACCCTCAACGAGATGGATTGACACAGTGGCTGTGGTGATGGGCTCAAGTATAGCAAGGATTGTGGAGCTGGCATGGGAGTGGGCAGTGTCTCGTTCTGCTCTGCATAGAGTCACTATGAGTTGGAGATGACTTGATGGCACCTAACAACCATAAGCTTTCACATCCATATGAGGCTATTAAAAATACCATGGCTTGGGTTAGCTGAACCTTTGTCTTCAGAGAGATGTCTTTGCTCTTTAGCACTTTAAAAAGCTCTTTTGCAGTAGATTTGTCCAGTGCATTACATCGTCTGATTTCTTGACTGCTGCTTCCATTGGTGTTGATTGTAGAACCAACTAATATGAAATTTTTGACAACTTCAATTTTTTCTCCATTTATCATAATGCTGCTTATTGGTCCAGTTGTGAGGATTTTCATTTTCTTTATGTTGAGGTGTAATCCATACTGCAGACTGTAGTCTTTAATCTTCATCAGTAAGTTCAAGTCATCTTCACTTTCAGCAAGCAAGGTTGTATTGCCTGCATATCACAAGTTGTTAATGAGTTGTCCTCCAATTCTGATGTTGTGTTCTTCTTCATATAGTCCAGCTTCTCATATTATTTACTCAGCATACATATTGAATAAGTATGGTGAAAGGATACAACCATAACATACTCCCTTTCTGATTTTAAACCATGCACCTTGTTCTGTTTGAATGACAGCCTTCTGGTCTATGTACAGGTTCCTCATGAATACAATGAAATGTTCTAGAATTCCTATTCTTCTCAATGTTATCCATAATTTGTTATGATCCACACAGCCAAATACTTTTGCATAGTCGATAAAATACAAGTAAACATCTTTCTGATATTCTTTGCCTTGAGGCAAGATCCATCTGACATCAGCATTGACATCCCGTGTTCCACATCCTCTTCTGAATCCAACTTGCATTTCTGGAAGTTCTCTGTCAACATACAGCTGTAACCATTTTTGAATCATCTTCAGCAAGATTTTACTTGTGTGTGATATTAGTGATATGTTTTGATAATTTCCATGTTTAAGCGGTTAGAAGTCTAAATTCAGAGCAACAGCTCTAGGGGAAGAGTTTATCTCTGTCAGTTCCAGGAAATGTCTTTGTCTCCTTTAAACATCTGTGGGCCTGGCATCACTATTTCCCTGCGTCTAGGAAATTTTCAGTGCAGGGCCCCCTGGTCCAAAGGACATATTCCACTCCCAGCTCTCCTTTCACCTTGGTCTAGGAAGTATTCATCACAAGTTTCTATACATTAATCTCATCTAGATATTTAATGGTAAGTGGGAACATACAATACATTTCCTTTTTGTGTTTGATTTATTTCATTCAGCATGTTTTCAAGGATGTTTGTGCATGTTCTAGCATGTATAAAGACTTTATTTCTTTTTTATAAAAGCATGTACCACATTTTGTTTATTCATTCATCTGTTGATGGGCATTTAGGTTGTTTTCACCTTTTGGCTATTGCAAATAATGCTGCTATGAACATTAGTATGTATATCTGTGTTTCTGCTTTCAGTTTTTTTTTTTTTTTTTTAATCTATTCCTAGGAGTGGAATATCTTCTTAAGCATTTTGAGAAACATGTTGAAAAATTGCTTAATCATGAAAGAAAAGCAGGCAGGAAGAATTGTTTGGTTATTCTATTGTTGTACGCAAAATGATACCTGCCAATTTCAGGTGGAGACAGAACACATTCTGTAGGTGATTTAGTAGCTTGGCCTCTTTCTTCTTTGTCAAACTTTCCTGTCTGCTAACTGATGGAAAGCATAACTGTAAATTTACTACTTTGGAATTTATTCCTGGAAATTATCATGAGCAAAATACTTATCTTTTCATAGCAAATACATGCATGAAGGCTCAATAATATGATTATACAGTTGTGGTAGTTATGGTTGTATGTCAAGATGGCTGGGCCTGGTTGAGTGGCTGGGCAGCCGGATGTAATTATTCCCTATGGTGAGACTGATAATTAATTCTATGGTGGAATCTACTGCAGCAGCTGGGTAGTTACTTTAGGGTGTGGTCTGCTTCCAGTATATAAGAAGCAAATTTGAGGAAGGGCTCCAGCTTTTTGGCATGCTTGGGTCCTGCATGTAGCTGAGTCTTCATTCATCAGCCTGCCATGCTCTGTCAATGTTGGGATTTTTAATGGATTTGAATCAACAGCCTGCAATTGTGGTTTGGTAATATCAAGACTGTGCCTTTTCACTTGTCGACCCTGGGTTTGTCAGCCTCAGCACTGAGCAGCTGCCTGAATGAAGAGATGCCTCCAGCTGCAGTGGGTCAGGCGCAAGAGGCAGAGCTGAAGCCCAGGTTGAGGAACTTTCACTCAGCCCCTAGAGCCTGGCACTTTGAGCTCAGACTTCTAGCCTCCCAAACTGTAAGAGAATAAACTCCTGTTTGTTCAAGCCATCCTATTTGTGGTATATTCCTGTCAGAGTGGTACTAGGCAACCAAAACAACAGTCAAAAGAAAATATTAGGGGAAAGTCCAAAAGACATGGAAAGTGCTCAGTGTTGGGGAATGCACTTGAAGTGGTACTCACAGAATTCGGAGGCTAAGCAACTGCTGGAAAGAGTCAACTTTAATTTCATAGATTTCATTATGCCGGATGTCACTGAAATGAGAGGGTTCCAAATATTCATTTCTATGTTACTGGCTTCAAGGATTAAAGTCTTCAGAGAACTTTTAAAGAGGGACTACCTGCCCTCAATCAAAGGAACACATGGGCTATGACTATCAACTGACTGATTTTTAAAATTTTGTTATGTTTATAAAGCAACATTACAATTTACACACTTAGTGAGTATTGCTTCTCTTCCAAAGCAGTTAGTTCCCTTGGGAGGATATAAAACCATATTGCAAAGACACCATCATCACTCAAAATACTTCGAGGACTCCTTTCCTGGCTCTGCCTTCTAACCTTTCTTGGATTCTTTTAGAATCTTTAGGAGTGTCAATTTTTTTCCCCCCTTAATCGCTCAAAGACATTTGGAGAAAAATCAAGCATGAAAGAATGGATGATTAATACTGTTTTGATGAAAATCCAAGAAATGATTATAATGCAAGGAGGCTGATGTTTTGTGGAGGAGGCAATTTTAAGAGAGAAATTCCAAAATGTTTTGTGCATAATAGCATCTTAGAGATAAATATGTCACCTCCTCTAAAGGTGGCTATTATGAAACAAAGACACTAACATACAACTAAGCCCCCTGCCCCCCATATTCAAAAATAGACCACTCATTGGATAAGTAAGTTTGGTTGTACATGTAGAAGAAGAAAAATTCCAAAGCCCAAACAAATGTGATTCATTATTACACTAGGTTGGGGGTAGGGAGAAACAAATACATAATAAATGCTTTACTCTATTACAGTCAGTGTAATGCATGATAAAATAGTATCATCTATGTTTCCCAACTTTACAATCACCCTACATAGTCACACCTTGTGTGGGTAAATGGGAACGCATAAAATGTGTCCCCAGTGAACCATAAGGTAAGCAAAACAATGACACCTGTAAAATGGGAGTTTTGGCTCTTGGTTTTGCCAAGTGATTTAGAGACTCTTACAGACTTACATTTTTTGAAGTTTTTGGCAGACTGAAAAACTGGGTAAATCTTCTAGATGGTTGTAAGACAGATCTCTGAAAAACAGAAGATACAGAGGGAAAAATCTGTTATGTATTAATCATAGGGAAACATGCTTTGCTTTCCTTTTCTCTCTGAGATGACATATCTCCCAAAGGCAGCTTCTAAATATTTCCCCAGCACTGACATGGAACAGGTAGTTACAGGCATTATTGGATTAAGCAATAGATTCAAATGTTTACTGAAGTGTAACTGCTATACTTCTTTAATTGACTTAAATAATTTACTTAATGAATTTATTTATATTTTGTTAGTGGTGATCTACAACGTTCTAGCTATTATCTTACTGAAATGAGTACAAATTAAATTAAATAATGGTGCCTCTGTCTCTAAGAGCTGCTACATCTCTACAGCTAAGAGAAGTCATCTTTTCTAATCAACTAAAGAGTACCCAACAACAATTCAAAACATAGCACAAACTTTGAAATCAATCACTGTAAGGGGGGGAAAATCTAAGAAAGTCTTCAGCCAAAACTCAACAAATTACAGAATAGCAAAAACATATGGACATATTTATAGTATAATGTAACTAATCTAAAACAAGCTATGGTAATTTGCAGAAAGTTTAAAAAAAGAAAAACCAAACCCAAAATCAAACATACTGCTGTCGAGTTGATTCTGACTCATAGTGACCCATAGGGCAGAGTAGGACAGTCTCATAGGGTTTCTAAGGCTGTAAATCTTTATGGAAACAGACTGCCACATGTTTTTTTCATGGAGCAGTTGGTGCGTTTGAACTGTCAACCTTTCTGTTAACAGTGGAGCTCTTAACCATTGTGCCACCAAAGCTCCTTTAAAAAAAAAAAAAAAAGGAAGCTGGTAGATAAAGTAAGCTAGATATATATATAAAAAAGAAAAAAGTCTTGTCTCATGTTTGAAAAGTTATTGGCTAATCAGCTAACAAAGTTTCACACCTGATTCTAATACTTAAATTCAAATCACCACAATGCAACTGAAAAATCCATATTATTTTTTAAGAGGTTTTTAAATGGTTTTATTCTTGTAACTGATTTTATCCTGTATTTATTGAATACATAGAATTTACATAGGAAAAGAGTTAAAGGAGCTCTGGTTGGCGCAGTGCCTAAGGCATTTGGTTGCTAACCAGAAGGTTGGTGGTTCATACCCACCAACCACTATGCAGAAGGAAGATGTGGCAATCTAATTCCTTAAAGATTTATCACCCTAGAAACCCAATGAGGGTAGCTATGAGTTGAGGTACGACTCAGTGGCAGTGAGTTTGGTTTGTGGTTTAAAGCTAATGTACTACATATAAATGCTTCAAATAAATCTGTTTGAAAACATAAACTTATAGTTTATACTAGGGGGTTGAAAGACGAAAAACAAAATAAAACAAAGCAAAATCATACCTATACCTACACACACACACACACACACACACATGCCCCTAATAATAAGGTGTGTACTTTTGAGGCCGTGAGGTAAGCCAGCTCTGGGAGCAGCAGAAGGTGGAGGTCTTGTGTGCCTGGAGGCAGGCCCCAGTAAACCAGCCCTGGGAGCAGTGGAAGGCGGTTATTTGTGCCCCGGAGGCAGGCCGAGTAGGCAAGCAGGGCAAGGGAGACCAGGAAATGAGCAGAGCAGCCTGGAACAGCTATAGGAGACAGACTTGTCTGTCAATTTGTTGTACTGTGGCGGCTTGAGTGTTGCTGTGAGCCTGGAGGCTATGCCACCAGTGTTTTAAATGCCAACAGGGTTACCCATAGTGGACAGGTTTCAGTAGAGCTTCCAGACTAAGACAGACTCAGAAGAAGAAAGAGGCCATCCACTTCTCAAAGAATTGGCCAGTGAAAATCTTATGAATAGCAGTGAAACACTGTCTGATATATTACTGGAAAACTTTATCGATAGCCCTGAAACATTGTGCGATATAGCGGTGGAAGAGGAACCCCTCAGGTTGGAAGGCATTCAAAATACCACTGAAAAAGAGCTGCCTCCTCAGAGTAGAGCCAACCTTAATGATGTGGATAGAGTAAAGCTTTTGGGACCCTCATTTCCTGATGTGGCATGTCTCAAGATGAGAAGAAACAGTTGCAAACATCCATTAATAATTGGAACATGAAATGTACGAAGTGTGAATCTAGGGAAATTGGAAGTTGTCAGAAATGAAATGGAATGCATAAAGACTGATGTCCTAGGCATTAGTGAGCTGAGATGAACTGGTTTTGGCCATTTTGAATCAGACAATCATATGATCTACTATGCCAGGAATGACAAATTCAAGAAGAATGGCATGTCATTCATCATCACAAAGAATGTATCAAGAGTTATCCTGAAGTGCAATGTTGTCACTGATAGGATAATATCTGTATGCCTATGAGAAAGACCAGTGATACTACTACTATTCAAATTTATGCACCAACCACCAAAGCCAAAGATGAGGAAATTGAAGATTTTTACCAACTTCTGCAGTCTGAAATTGACCAGACATGCAATCAAGATGTGTTAATTATCACTGGTGATTGGAATGCTATTCTGGTTACCTAGTGCAGCTCTGACAAGAATATACCACAAATGGGATGATCTAAGCAAACAGGAGTTTATTCTTACAATTTGGAGGCTCTAAGTCCAAGTTCAAAGTGCCAAGCTCTAGTGGCTGGGTGAAAGCCTTTCAGCCTTGGGCTTCAGCTCTGCCTCCAGCTCCCGACCCACTGAAGCCAGAGGCTTTTCTTCACTCAGACAGCTGCTGGCTGCTGAGGCTGACAAGCCCAAGATAGACAAGTAAAAAGGCACAGTCCTGATGTTACCAAACCACACAGCAGACCATTAATTCAAGTCCATTGTAACTCCTCAGGTTGGCAGAGCATGGCAGGCTGTTGAACAATGACATGGCTACACATAGGGTCCAAGTGTATCATAAACTAGAGACTATCCCCAAGGCTTCTCCTTAAATACAGGAAGCAGACCATATCCCAAAGGCAGCTACTCAGCTGCTTGTGGTAGATCCCACCACGGAGTTGATTGCTAGTCTCATCATGGGGAATAATTATCACCAGCTGTCCAGCTACTCAACCAGGCCCAGCCGAGTTGACATACAAATGTAACTACCACAAATGCAAAATTTGGAAACAATGGAAGGATAGATAGGATAAAAGAGCTGAACAGAAGATTTCAAAGAGCAGCTTGAGAAGACAAAGTCAATTATTATAATGAAATATGCAAAGACCTGGAGTTAGAAAACCAAAAGGGAAAAACATGCTCAGCATTTCTCAAGCTGAAAAAACTGAGGAAAAAACTTAAGCCTCGAATTGCAATATTGAAAGAGTCAATGGGCAATGCATTATGTAGGAAAACATCAAAAGAAGATGGAAGGAATACACAGAATCACTATACCAAAATAATCAGTAGATGCTCATCCATTTCAAGAGGTAGGAGGTGGCATATGATCAAGAACCAGTGGTATTGAAGAAATTGAAATCGCACTAAAGGAATTGGCAAAATAAATAAATAAATAAATAAAAATAAGGCTCTGGGAATTGACGGAATACCCATTGAGATGTTTCAACAAATGGATGCTGTGCTTGAGGCACTCACTTGCCTATGCCAAGAGATTTGGAAGACAGCTACCTGGCCAACTGGAAGAAATTCATATTTGTACCTTTTCCAAATAAAGGTGATCCCACAGAATATGGAACTTATTGAACAATATCATTGATATCACATGCAAGTAAAATCTTACTGAAGATAATTCAAAAACAGTTGCAGCAGAATATTGACAGAGAACTTCCAGAAATGCAAGCTAGATTCAGAAGGGGAAGTGGAGCGAGGGATATCATAGCTGATATCAGATGGATCTTGGCTGAAAGCAAAGAATACCAGAAAGGTGTTTGCTTGTATTTTATTGACTAAGCAAAGGCATTCAATTGTGTGGATCATAACAAATTGTGGATAACACTGAGAAGAATGGTGATTCCAGAGCACTTAACTGTACTCATGAGGAACCTGTACATAGACCAAGAGGCTGTTGTTAAAACAGAACAAAACGATACTGCATGGTTTAAAATCAGAAAGGGAGTGTGTCATGGTTGTATCCTTTCACCACACTCACTCAATCTGTATGCTGAGCAAATAATCTGAGAAGCTGGACTATATGAAGAAGAATGTGGCATTACGATTACAGGAAATCTCATTAACCTGAGATATGTAGACGATACAATTTTGCTTGCTGAAAGTGAGGATGACTGGGAGCACTTACTGATGAAGATTAAAGACTTCAGTCTGCAGTATGGATTACACCTCAATATAAAGAAAACAAAAATCCTTACAACAGGACCAATAAGCAGCATCACAATGCATGGAGAAAAGATTGAAGTTGTCAAAGACTTCATATTGCTTGGTTCAACAATCAATGCCAATGGAAGCAGCAGGCAGGAAATCAAAAGATATATTGCACTGGGAAAATATGTTACGAAGACCTCTTTCAAGTGCTCAAGAGCAAAGATATCTCCTTGAAGATGAAGGTGCACCTAACCCAAGTCATGGTATTTCCAGTCATCTCATATGTATGTGTTGTTGTTATGTGCCCTTGAATCGGACCTGATTCACAGCGACCCCTCCTTGGGTTTCCAAGGCAATATCACTACAGAATTAGATTGCCCCATCTTCCTTCCAAGGAGTGGCTGGTGGGTTTGAACTGCCAGACTTCTGGTTAGCAGTCAAGTACCTTAGGCACCATGCTACCAGAGCTCCTATATGCATGTGAGAGCTGGACAATGAATAAGAAAGACAGAGAAGAGTTGATGTTTTTGAGTTGTGGTGTTGGCGAAGAATGCTGAAAGTACCATGGACTGGTAAAAGAACTAACAAATCTGTCCTGGAAGAAGTGCAGCCAGAATGCTCCTTGGAAGTGAGAATGACCAGACTTTGATCATGTTGTCAGATGGAACCATTATCTGGAGAAGGATGTCATGCTTGGTAAAGTGGAGGGTCAACAAAAGAGGGGAAGGCCCTCAACAAGATGGACTGACATGGTGGCTGCAGTGATGGGCTCAGGTATAGTAGGGATCATAAGGCTGGCACAGGACTGGGCAGTGTTTCGTTCTGTTGTCCATAATGTTGCTGTGAGTTGGAGATGATTCGATGGCACATAACAACAACAATAACAGCTTTTGAAAAGTAGTGAATATAATAAAAGACATTATCAAAGTTGATAATTTCTCTCACTATGTTCACAGGCTGCAAGGGGACAAATTACTCCCCATGTACCTCTTAGTATAAAGCTCATTGCTATCAAGTTGATTGTGACTCATGGAGACCCTACAGGACAGAGTAGAACTGCCCTACAGGGTTTCCAATGCTGTAAGCAGAATAATTTGAGGAAAGAATAATGGGGTGAAGGAAATCAGAAAAATGATAAGCATTAACATTGACTGAGATGAGTCCAAAGTGCTGTTTGAAGTGTTTGACATATATTTCTTTTAATCCTCAGGATGATCCTCTGAAGGAAGTGGCCACATCTCTGTTTTATGGAGAAACTGAGCCCCAGAAGGGATAAAAAATTTCCTCAAAATATTGTGCTGTTACACAGTGGAAACTGGATTTGAACCTGGAGACAAGCTCCCTTTGCTCTGAACTATTTTGCCAGTCTGCCTCCACTTAGGCAGCTCTGGACCTTGGTGGTTTTCTGTTCACTGGGTTACCTGGTGGAGAAAAATGTAATTTAAATCCTGACTCTCTACTTACTAGTTACAGTATTTGAAATCCTATTCATGCTACTGAGTCAGTTTCCTCAAAAAATAGGGATGGATACTAATACTTATTCTAGATGTGGTAGATGGAATTCTAAGATGGCCCTAAAGATTTCCATCACCTAGTATATACACACTTCTCACTTATTCAGTGAAAATTACTGTAGATGAATTTGGACTCTGCTACTTTCTTACAGCGTAACTTTGACAAGTGGACCTAACTTCCCTAATTTTCAGTTTTCTTACCTGTATCTCTGCTTCATAAGGTGAAGTGGGGTAAAGAACAGGAAATTTGCTCTATGTCCCCCATTGCTCCCCATGGGCTCCCCCAAGGCTGCCATGCAGTGTTATTGCATCTTCACCTCACTGAGCTTCTGAAGTCTGATTATGAATGGGTAAGGCAAAATGGTTGTGGACGACATTCCCATTCTTCCATCCAGTATTTATGGTATTGCTAGTTTGGATACTAGGTAAATCTTGTAGTGGAAATACAAGCATTCAACTGCCACAGGTCTCTACAGGTGAGGACAGAGCCATCCAAGACACTGTTCATTGCTGTTGTTAGCTGCCATTGAGTCGGCTCTTAGCCATTGATGACCCCATGCACAACAGAATGAAATGTTACCCAGTGCTGTACCATCCCCACGATCAGTGGCAAATTGGACTGTTGTGATCCATAGGGTTTTCACTGGCTGATTTTCTAAGTGAATTTCAGGCTTTTCTTCCTAGTCTACCTTAGTCTGGAACCTGTTCAGTATTATAATCACACAAAAGCCTCCAATGACAGGTGAATGGTGGCTGTGCATGGTGTACATTGGCTGGGGATTGAACCTGGTTTTCCCCATGAGGCAAAAAAGAAAAAAAAAAAAAAATCAAAACACAAAATCACTGCATCAGATTGATTCCTACTCATAGTGACCCCCATGGGGTCTTTATGGAAGTAGATTGCCATATCTTCCTTCTGTGGAGCTGCTGGTGAGTTTGAACCACAAACCTTCTGGTTAGCAGTCAAATGCCTTGGGCACTGCATCACCAGCGCTCCTTCAGCAAAAACCAAATGCACTGCCGTGGAGTCAGTCCCCACTCATAGCAACCCCTCCCTGGGTTTCCGAGGCAGTATCTCTATGGAAATAGATTGCCCAGTCTTCCTTCTGAGGAGTGAGGAAGGTGAAAATTCTACCATTGAACCACCTCTATGGCAAGACACTAAGGATCCTAAATGTCAGGTCAGGGCAAGGCTCTTCCAATCCTGTAAAGTACTTTTAGCAAAATATGGGAAAGGCAGGAAAAAAAGGCCAAGTCAATAGAAATAACATATGCAAGCTGTTTAACCATTAGATGAAATACTAGAACACAGCACCCACAACTATGCTGGAAGAATGTTTGGTTGTCTTTATCACGGTTTGAATGAGTTTGATAACTTAATTTTTTATTTTGGCATCCATATTGGGTTGTTGATCCATTATGTTATTTTGTTCTGCTATGCAAAGCCTTTAGTGTGAGAAATGAAGTTATTTTGGCTTGTTCATGTCCATTTTCTGAAAGGAAACATGTGCCAGTTAAAACACTAATGGGAGACTGTTTGGGACTAGGAAACAAAGGGTGTACATGCCATGGTTACCAAGATCATGTCAGAGAACCACTTCCCTGACCCAAAGGGGAAAAGGAGGCTTGACCTCCTGGAGACCTGTAAGGAAAGAACTTTCTCCTTTTCTAAAGGATTACTGAAATAATGCCTGCCATTTCACCCTTAAATGGAAGTTGCCTGTTTATACAACATTATTGTCTCACTGATACACACAGCAGTTGGAGATTAGGTAACTGATTGCAGACAGTTTTGGGAAGTGATGAGATCTGTGCTCCAGTTAAAGTCCTGTTGAAACACAAAACAGACGTGATTCTTTTAGTCTAGTATCACACAGTGACATATTTTGATTCACTGATGTTAAGACTGGGCAGGTTGTAAGGGAAGCATGCATTCTGGGAAAAGACAAGAGCCCACTCAAGTACTTACAGACTCTCCAGACTGGCAGTTCCAGTCAGATCAGGAAATTCAGTTATCTGTGAGGCACCATTCAAAGTCCTAGCCAAAAGAGTACATGAGAATTATTGGGAGATGATTCTAGAAAGCATAATTTTTACAGTCATTTTCAAAACACTTCAACCTATACTATTCACTGGGTCTCTACAACAACCCTGAAAGAGGAAATGGATCTGAAAGAGAAATAGAAACTTACAATGTTCTTAGTTCAGGTAAATGTTGAAAAGCTGATCTTCCAACAAGCTGGATGGGGTTGTCATAGAAATGTCTGAAAAAAATTAAACCACCAATGTCTTAGTATAAAACTTGAATGGCAAATGAATACCTGTTCAAAATTTCAGCATTTACATTAAATGTCATAATTATATTATGTCATTTTGATTATATTATATAACATTCCTGATTACTTGTTTCAGGCAAACCTGAAAAGTATTTTGATTTCCATTATGAGACATTTTTTTGTTTTTGTTTTTGAAAAAAGAAATCATCCTGTTTTAAACTGAAAATTTCTGCAAGGCAGATGTCAATGATAGGAGAAATGCAAGTGAACTGACTGCAGTTATACTTAACTACCTCTACCTGCAACATATGTGGGCTGAAAGGTAATTAAGTGGTGGCTATCATCTAATAAATTAAAGAAAGATGAAGTTCTATATGAAAAGTTATATCCACTGGTCAACTCTTATCACAACATACCCATGAGGCTCTTCAAATTATTTGAGAAGAAAATTAATATTTTGTAACATTACAATTTTCTTGCATTAATTATTGTTCTAAAAGGTGGGGTGTTATTAGATCATGAAAATATTTTTGTTTTACAGATGTTTTCAATGTAATGGTATTTGAACTTGGTTAACAGAGTCCAACACATAGTTCTTAAATGAAATGGCCTTCTACTTTAAGTTTAACAAATATTTATTGGTATGCAATGTGTTCAAAGTATGAGGGCAAGTATTGCAGGCATTTATAGACTGATGCATTCAAGAAGCTGTCACTGATTACCTATTATGTGCCTGGCATTATGCTAGATGGTGGGCATGTGAAGGGGAATGATAAAATGGCCCTATCTTAAAGAGACTTGGAATCAGTTGGGATAAAACAAATAAACAAAATAACAGCATATCACTTTCATTTATATGGTGCAATTGATTGACACAACAACTTTATAAGATCCATAGGGTAGATACTATTTTCCTTATGCCTGGAGAGAGAAATTGAGCCTCAGGTACATTAATTAACCTTGGTAAGTCCAATATCTCCCAGAGCCTTGATTTCCTAATTTGTTAAACTGAGATAATAGTATTTATTTGTAGAGTTTGTGTAAGAATTAAAAGAGCTAACAAATATGTAGCATCTAGCATAGTGCCTAGATACAGTTGTCACCCAACAAACCTAAGTCCCCTCCTATACTCCAACCTTCTGATATCTTCTTTTCCCTTGAATATAAACCTTATGATTAAAAAATGGAATTTTCCTAATATTATTACACAATCCCATATCTACCCTGTATGCTTGGATATGTATAATTGTGTTCATATACATGTACATATGTGTGTACACTGGCCAGATATGAATGCACATGTTTGTGTACATAAGTCAGAAGTACCACAAATACAAACAAGGAGTTATGAGTTTCTGGGAGGGAGCTTTCTCCTATGTTAGGGGGAAATCAATAGAAATTTCATGGAAATAGAATTGAAAATGGGCCCTGGAGATAGAATTTCCACAAATATGAGAAGATGAAAGAGTAGGAGCAAAGAGAAAAAGGAAAGAGTTTTGTTCTATGAATATAGCTTGGTTTACAACACAGGGAAGAGTCTTTGGGTGGGGCAAATCGTTAAGTGTTCCCCTAGTAGCTGCAAGGTTGGCAGTTCAAACCTACCCAGAGGCACCTTGGAGGAGAGGCCTGGCCATCTACTTCGGAAAGATCACAGTTTTGAAAACGCTGGAGTGGCTCTGCTCTGGACATATGGGGTCATATGGAGGTCACCACTGAGTCTAGGCCAAGGAACAATACCAAAAACAACCACAACAATGACAAAAAAAAACCCAAAAAACCCAAACCCACTGCTGTTGAGCCGATTCTGTAGGGCAGAGTGGGATTGCCCTATAGATGGTTTCCAAGGCTGTAATCTCTGCCTGCTACACCTTTCTCCCATGAAGAAGCTGGTGGGTTCAAACTTTTGGATAACAGCTGAACACTTTAACCACTGCACCACCCAGGTTCCTTCGACAACAGTTCAGGAGAGATTTCGGGGAACTGGGAAGGACCATGAACTGGGAGGGCTGTGAATGTCAGGGTAAGAAATTTTCATTAAATGTAAACAGACAACCCTGTGTCTGTCAGTTTCACAGGGGAATGACAAGATGGATGCTTCTAGAGACCTCTCCCTAGAAGCACAGCATCCATCTTGTCGACTCGCATAAAACAACAAGTAATGGTGGCAGTGGGGATGAAAGAGGGATGGGAAGACAAGGTAGGGACTACAGAGGTAGAAATGAGGACTGGGTAGCCAATGGGCTGCACTCACAGAAATGGGGAGTCAGGAGGGGTGGGGTGCGGTGGGGGTGGCAGTGGCAGGAAATGGAAACAGATGTGGGAGCTGGGAGAGAAGAGCTTCACAGAGAAAGTGGTCAACACCATCAAATACTGGATCAAATACTGGATGTTGTTGTTGTTATGTGCCATCAAGTTGGACCCAAGTCATAGCAACCCCTACTTGGGTTTCTGAGGCGGTATCACTAAGGAAGGAGCTCTGGTAGCATAGTGCCTAAGGCACTTGACTGCTAACCAGAAGGCTGGTGGTTCAAACCCCCAGCCACTTCTTGGAAGGAAGGTTGGGCAATCTACTTCCGTAGTGATACGGCCTTGGAAACCCAAGGAGTGGGTCGCTATGAAACTCGACGGCATAGAACAACAACAACACTATGGAAGTAGATTGCCCAACCTTCCTTCCAAGAAGTGGCTGGGGGGTTTGAACCCTCAGCCTTCTGGTTAGCAGTCAAGTGCCTTAGGCACTACGCTACCAGAGCTCCCTTCAAATGCTGGATAGAAGTTCTAATAAACATAGGGTTTTTAATTCTCCTCTGGGGGTATTAGCATATCCAAAGAGTGATTAAAAACCAGTCCTGGGGCTGCAAGGAAAAAGAAGCAAAGGCAATGCAATTTACCAACCTTTTACTATGTAAATACTCTCTAACAAGGATGCATGTTTACTGGTCAATGGACTTCAAAACCCTCAGTTTGCCAACATACTGCCAGGACATTTCATAAATAATGAGTGGTACTGTCTCCAGTTGTCAGGGCTAATTGGGACTCCAGCTCATTTGTGACAACTGTCACATGATTCCAAAAGGCCTTTTAACCAAGTTGACAGACAAACAACTGCCAAGAAGTACCCCCAGAGTCATGTTCAACATTGTCCTTACTCTTGTTCTCTGTATCTGGGATTCCTCACCATTGACCCCAGGCCAATGCTATGCCCAAAGCTGCCTCTGACATGTGTCTCTTAATTAAGAGCCAGACAAAATATTTATATATTTCCACTGTCTTATAGCTACACAAAGGAGCTCTGGTGGTGTAGTGGTTAAGGCGTTTGGCTGCTAACCAGAAAGTCTGTGATTTGACCCTGCCACTGCTCCGCAGAAGAAAGATGAGGTGATCTGCTTTTGTAAAGATTTTTAGCCTTGACAACCCAATGAGATGGAGGGTCACTATGAGTTGTAATTGACTGGATGGCAGTGAGTTTAATATCAACATAAAGGGCTCTAGTGGCATAGTGGTTAAAGCATTCTGGTGCTAAGAAAAAGTAGGGGTTTCAAATCCACCAGCTGCTCCACAGTAGAAAGATGAGGCCGTCTGTTTCCATAAAGATTTATAGCTTGGAAATTCTATGGGGCAGTCCTACCCTGTTATATAGGGTCATTATGAGTTGGAATCGACTCAATGGCAGTGAGTTTGGTTTTTGGGTATATCTGCATATAATCAATCTTCTGTCTGTGCTAAATGTGAAACAGAATTAACCATAATTTGTAACTGCAGACTGTTTTATGCTTTCATTGGCATATAAATTTTCACATACATCTTTCTAGAACATATGCAACTTTCTAGAATTACATTGTATTTTGCATAAATGTGAAAGGAGCTCTGGTGGTGTAGTAGTTAAGGCATTTGGCTGCTAACCAAAAGGTTGGTGGTTGGAACCCAACAAATAATCCATGGAAGGAAGATGAGGCAATCTGCTTCTGTAAAGATTTACAGCCTTGGAAACCCAGTGGGGGTCACTATGAGTTGGAATTGACTTGATAGCAGGGAGGTTTTTTTTTTTTTTTTGGTTTTGTATAAATGCAACTCAATGCCTGAGTTTGATATTAACAGATAGAGACTTAGCATAAAATAGAATTCCACTCCATCTCCTCAATTTAGACTGGAGTCTACATCTGAAAAGGACCCTTGTTTGTATATAATAAATTATAGTTTTAGTATACTTGAGGGGAAAGTGGGGGAAAGGAGAGAAAAGCCAGGGGAACCAGGACAGAGTGAGGCAGCAGTGGCAGGGATCCAGGTAAGGAGAGGGACCCAGTTCCCCCATCCCAGGTGATGGAAAAGCGGGGGAAAGGAGAGAAAAGCCAGGGGGACCAGGACAGAGCGAGGCAGCAGTGGCATGGACCTGGTAAGGGGAGGGACCCAGGCCCTACCCCCAAGTGGTAGGAAAGTGGCAGGAAAGAGGAGGGTGGAGAGGTTTCAAATAGCTAAGGGACACAAACTTGTCTGTTGGTTTGTCCTACTGTGGTGGCATGTTGCTGTGAGGCTTGAAGCTGTGCCACTGGTGTTTCAAATGTCAGCGGGGTTGCACATGGTGCACAGGTTTCACCACAGCTTGCAGACTGAGATAGACCAGGAAGAAGGAAGAGGCCATCCACTTCTCAAAGAATTAGCTAGGGAAAACCTTATGAATAGCAGAGAAACAATGTCGGATACATTATTGGACAACTTTGTGAATAGCCTGGAAACATTGCCTGATACAATGCAGGAGGACAAGCCCCTTAGGTTGAAAGGCTCTCAAAAAATGACTGAGAGAGAGCTGTTTCATCAGAGTAGTACCAACCTTAATGATACTGATAAAGTAAAGCTTTCAAGACCTCCATTTGTTGATGTGGCACAACTCAAACTGAGGAGAAATAGCTGCAAACACTCATTAATAATCAGAACATGGAATGTACGAAGTATGAATCTAGGAAAATTGGAAGTTGTCAAAAGTGAAATGGAACTCATAAAGATTGATATCATAGGCATTAGTGAGCTGAAATGGACTGGTTTTGAATCAGACAACCATATGATCTACTATTTGACTCACAATTTGAAGAGGAATGGCATGGCATTTATCTTCACACAGAATGTTTCAAGATCTGTCCTGAAGTACAGTGCTGTCAGTGATAGGGTAATATCCATACGTCTACAAGGAAGACTTGTTAATACGACTGTTATTCAAATTTATGCACCAACCACCAAAGCCAAAGATGAGGAAATTGAAGACTTTTATCAGCTTCTGCAGTCTGAAATTGACCCAACATGCCATCAAGATGTGTTAATTATCACTGGTGACTGGAATACAAAAGTTGGACACAAAGAAGAATCACCAGTAGTTGGAAAATTTGGCCTTCGTGACAGAAATAATACTGGAGATCTCATGATAGAATTTTGCAAGACCAATGACTTATTCATTGCCAATACCTTTTTTCAACAACACAAACAGTGGCTATACATGTGAACTTCGCCAGATGGAATACACAGGAATCAGATTGACTACATCTGTGGCAAGAGGTGAGGGAAAAGCTCAATATCTTCAGCCAAAACCAGGCCAGGTACTGATTGTGGAATGGACCATCAACTGTTTATATGCAAGTTCAACTTGAAGACAATTAAAACAAGGCCACAAGAGCCAAAATATGATCGTGAATATATCCCTCCTGAATTTAGAGATCATCTAAAGAATAGATTTGATGCACTGAACAATAATGACTGAAAACCAGAAGACCTGTGGGATGACACTGAGAACATCATCTGTGAAGAGAGCAAACAGTCATTAAAAAGATGAGAAAAGAAGAAAAGACCAAAATGGATGACAGAAGAGACTCTGAAACTTGCCCTGGAGTAGAGAGTAGCCAAAGCAATGGAAGAAATGACAAGATAAAAGAGCTGAAGAGAAGATTTCAAAGAGCAGCTTGAGCAGACAAAGCCAATTACTATGATGAAATGTGCAAAGACTTGAAGTTAGAAAACCAAAAGGGAAGAACACGCTTGGCATTTCTCATGCTGAAAGAACTGAGGAAAAATTTAAGCCTCGAGTTGCAATATTGAAAGATTCTATGGGCAAAATATTGGATGATGCAGGAAGCATCAAAAGAAGATGGAGGGAATACACAGTCACTGTACCAAAAAGAACAGGTAGATCTTCATTCATTTCAGGAGGTGGCATATGATCAAGAATCAATGGCACTGAAGGAAGAAGTCAGAGCTGCACTGAAGGAAATGGTGCAGAACAAGGCTCCAGGAATTGACAGAATACCCATTGAGATGTTTCAACAAACGGATGCCTTACTGGAGGCACTCATTCTGTTATGCCAAGAGATTTGGAAGACAGCTACCTGGCCAACTGACTGGAAGAGATCCCTATTTGTACTCATTCCAAAGAAAGGTGATCCCACAGAATGTGGAAATTATCAAACAATATCATTAATATCACACACAAGTAAAATCTTACTGAAGATAATTCAAAAATGATTGCAGCGGTATATTGACAGAGAACTTCCAGAGGTGCAGGTTGAATTCAGAAGAGGATGTAGAACAAGGGATATCATTGCTGATGACAGATGAATCTTGGCTGAAAGCAAAGAATACCAGAAAGATGTTTACTTGTGTTTTATTGACTATGCAAAGGCACTTGATTGTGTG